TGGCTCGTGGCGGACAAGTGGAAAAAGCCCTTGAACTAATAGATTCCATGAACTCAGAACCAGGATTGACTACTTTGGTTGCGCTCTTGTCAGGTTGCCTTACTCATAGAAAGTTTTCAGTTGGAGAGATAGCAGCAAAGAAGATCCTGTACTTGAATCCTGACGACCTGGGAGTCCATGCCTTAGTTTCAAACTTATTTGCCGTGGGGAAGAAGTGGGATGAGGTAGCTGGTATGAGGAAGATCATGAAAAGAACAGGGATGAGGAAAGTCCCCGGCTACAGTGTAGTAGAAGTGAATGGGAAGCTTCATGCATTTCTTAAGGATGATAAGAGCCATCATCAATATGAAGATATCATTCATATATTGGATAAACTGGATTATGAGATGAAAGCAAAGTACAGAACTAAAGATTCATAACCTTGACGAGGAAGAGAGAAAATGTTTCATGTGGCAAGAATCAGAGCCAGCTACTTTATTCGTGGCCTGAACACAGGGCTATGGATCGGATTACAGATATCAGCAGACTGGGCATGGCACACACACAATACAACTGACTTTCTGATATATGAGATCAAGTCAGTTGGAACTGATTTTGACTACCTTGAGAAGCCAATACACAAATTACTATTGCTAGAAATTCTTTCCAGATTTGAGAAATAAATGATTTCTCTTAATGCCAGCTAAAAAAAATTGTGGTGAACTTCTTCAACCACGAGTCATTCATCACCAGCAGTTGGCTAAAAGAATTTGTAGAGGGTCATAGAAAACTGTTATCTTACTTGAATTTATCTTGCTAACTGCACTAAGAGCATGCCAAACACTTCCAGAATACAGTAAATAAGGGAAGTTCAAACAGAAATTTAGCTTTAAGCTAGACTTTTTTCTTCTTCATACCAATACTTCTGTTTTTCATTTGGATCAAGAGTAGCAAGTTTGCTAAAAGCATCATCTCGCTGCCACGGTTGAAAAGTTTCCCTTGACCTTTATCCTCTTGCATCTAGCAGCTCTTTTTGATATCTAAAAACAATCTTAATCTACTGGGAATCAGGATACTGTCTAAAACTCAATCACCATGTCAGCTGAAAAGAAAAGTCTGTATCAACAGCCAAACAAAGAAGAGAGAGAGAGAGAGAGAGAAGAAGCAGAGAGATTTAACCACAAATCTAGTTTCTTGAGAATTACAAAATTTTTGACAATGCTAAGCACTAGCAGACACCACTTTGCTTATGTTAAAAGGACCTACCAACCCTTCATCAAAAAAAGAAAAAAAGAAAAAACCACCAAACACCTTCAACCCCTACAAGGAGGTAAGCCAATTCATGACAATTCCTATAACATTTTGGATGCTCGATCAACATCACTGATGACAAAAAAGATTATACCCGAATATTTAACATCAAGAGTCTTTCAAAAAATTTCTAACTTCGGTATCCTAGAGCTTGATTCTGAAGATTTTGGTTGTCTTCTAGTAATCGATCATACTCAAGCAGTAAATCTGCAGATTGTTTCTGAAGAGCGGCAACATGAGCTTCAGCAGTTTCAATCTTCTTGTCCTTCTCTTCAGATTCCGTCTTCAGCTTCTTTAAATTCTCTGATAGTGAAGAAATTTCTTCACGCAGGAGCTTAATTTCCTTTGATGCTTTCTCCTCCTTCTCCTTGAGCTTCGTTTTCTCCTTCTGAAGCTGTTCAAGCTCCTCTTTTGAAGATCCCACACTACTCCTTAACCCTATAAGCTTTCTAAGATAATGGTGCATCCTATCAATTATGAATCCAAGGAATAGGGTAAAACCTGTAAAAAGAGTAATGCAGCGTTAGCAGGCTGAACAGCACGCTGAGAGTATATATTTATATATAAATTATCATTATTTATTATTTAGTTCACTCATCATTGTAATGCTCAGAAATGAAAGCTAATTCAATTAACAGATAATGATTAACCCAGTCTCTTTAATTTTTAGGATCCCCAATCAAGGTGCATCACCAGTTTCCAGTCAACAAAAGACTAATCTAAGATTGTTTCTCCCTTCAGACTAGTTGACTAGAGCTGTACATTGTATACTACAAGATCACCTTTGAATGCATTTTGCTCTCTACAAGCCTCTTAAAGAATGTCAGCCTAGTTGACTAGAGCTGTGCATTGTATCATACAATGATCACCTGTAAATATAGTTTGCTCTCTACAAGCCTCTTAAAGAATTTTAGTGACCAATGATTTTCAGAATCTTCCAAAGTCAGTTAATTCAGATGCTAATAGATTAAAATAAACAAAAATAAAATAAAACTGTGGCATCCAGTTGGACTAAATCTTATAATTAAGAGTTTCTCTTTTTTTTTTTTTTGAGGAAAACAGAAAGGACAGTAGCCTTAACAAAAGATTGGGAGTCAAAATATCCATGCAGTTAGGATGCTCTGGTAAGCAAAAAAACAGCTTAAACAGGCATCACTAGTTCTATGAAAAGGAGAGCTCAAAAACAAAAACCCCGAGAGTCTCTTTTGTTTATCTCTCTCCAGATTAGCCAAAAAATAGGCAAAGGAATAAATGTAGAAATCTTCTTTCTAGATTTACAAACCTTAAGCCCCCCCTCCCCGGGCCAAAAAAAAACCCAAAGTTTATCAAAAACAATCCATGATAAATTGAGGAGAGGAATGCAGAATCCAGGGCCTTCTAGCCTCCAAGCAACATGGACTATTTTTTTCTTGTGTCTCATTCTTTGTGCAATTCCAAAACCAAAAAGACAGTGCTTTACAGGAAAACAAGAGAAAATGCTACCTTATCGCTTTTCCTTTACTTGTACCTCACATCATCCACAATAGAATTTCCTTCATGAATTCCTAGCTGAGAATCTAACAATGAAGCAATTGCATAAACAACTTATCCAACATTAGTTGGGATTGTGTTACATGAAATCATTACAAAATCAGGATAAGGATAGTAATTCATGGACTTCGGCAGCTTTTGCTGGACTTCACCGGTTCAACCCAGGGAAAAGAAGAGACAATTAACAAAATAAAACAAACAGAGGCCTGAGCAGCCATTCTTGTAGGACAATCTAAGACAAGCTACAGACCTTGTTACACAGACGTCATAATGATCCATTGATATACAAAAATGCCATAGTTTCTCCAAAGAACAATTTCAAGTTCAACCATGATTTTTTCAGTTCAACCATGATATTAGCAAAGTGCAGCTGCTGCGCCACAACTTATTCAGCATAGAAAACAGTAATGGGAGTTAGAAGACTACATATGTGAATGTAGCTAAATTAAATAGGCTACCTATTATACTGCTTTGAAGCTATTTGCAAGACCTGGAAGCACAATGTGATTTACTTGAGGTATAGCCTCCTTTTCCTTTATGTGTTTGACTAGGTTATTCTCTGTTTGTAAATACTATTCAAACTACCATAAAGGATGATGAATTTCATAGAAGCCCTCATTAATGCAGAATATTATGTCTTAATTCTGAAATTTCCTACACGACAAATTCCAGCTTACTTAACCCGACAAGCCCCGTTAACCATATTTGTTTCACCTTGGAATATCTGAGAATCACCTCCTCACAAAGTTGAAAAGCCAATAAAACATTTACTCCATATACTTATGTGACTCAAAAGTTGTCTAATTATAGTTCAAGCATAGAAGTAAATAGCACCAATGAGATTCACATAGCCTATGCAAAAGTTCTGCGTTCCTCCATATTCCAGCTTCCAGAAGTATGGAGACACATCATTTTCCATGTAGAGCCACATGATCACTCTAACTAGCCAACCAAATAGAAGGCTATTCCGAAATAATGGCAACCAAGAAAACAAAGAATCAAAGATAAAAAGAGCCAATAGATCATACCCATGAGTGAAGCCTCGAGCAAGTGGGTTCTCCACAGAACCTGATCCATGGGTGACATAGTACCAAGCTTAGCACCCTTGTTCTGGATCTTGATAATGCTCATAAGACTTGATAGGAGAATCACAGACATAGTACCCGCAATGGTTTTCACAGTCGCCGGGCCTTTCCCCGTCTTCACCTGATCCAAACTCTTTATAACCAGCTCCCTAAATGGACCAATCTTTACCAATAGAAGGAATGCTATAACACTCTCGGCAAGAAGAACCAAGAACAGCAATTGAATCATTTCTGCTTCGAAGGAGATACCCACTGAAGACCAAAGAATCCCTTAATTTTCCTTTAGTGGGTATCAATCTTCATGGGCGGAAAATGCGCACTCACCCACCAAGAGCGGTTTTTAGCTTCCAAGAAAGAGGGTTTCGAAACTAATGAGTCCTCGGATTGAACGAAAAAGTGAAAGAAAGTAGCATTTTCTTGTTAAAACCCCTTTTGTTTTCACATGAAACTAAGAAGTACAAGCGGATCGTCCCCGTAGGTAACACCGCGAGAAACTGAAGAAGGAAAACAAAAACTAAAGCAACTGCACCACGTCTACGATCTTTCCATAAAATGAGTTTAAGTTTACGGGAAAGAAAAAACTAAAACAGATGATTCAGACCATGAGATTTTATTCCAAAAAAAAAAAAATGGAGACTTACAACTAAACAGAAGAATGTTTTTCTGGAAAAACCCACTCGTTCTTTTAATGGGCTTCTTTCTTGATGATTCTAACCTAAACTAACTAGCATTCATTTTACCCATAAAATGTAACAAAACAAAAAGAAAAACTAAACTACATAGTGGGAATTACTTAATTAATAAATATTCGTAAATAAGAAGAGAAGAAACAATGATAACAATGGCTTTGCCTTTTCCAGTCAAAACCAAACATGCAGAAATATATATACATATATATAATCAAATTATAAATAGGTAAAGGTATTGAAAGAGCTAAAAAGGCAAGCTCACTCAAACTCAATTTATTTTAGGCAAAGAAACACATGGAAAAGTTGGGAATTAGTCAAAAGTGAAATAAAGACATACAAAAATAAGATGATAAAAAGAGGTCAAGGCATTTACGGAAACAAAGATAATAAACACTTAATTAAGGCAACTTAAAAACTATAGGAGATTATCATAATTTAGGGGTTATATCTAAATTACTTTAATTTTTTTTTTTGTTTTATCAGTAAATTTAACAAATTAATAATATCTAGTAAAATTTAATTGCAAAAAAACTCAAAGCATGATATGCCTGCTATTTTTTAGTACTAGGAATTCGGATAGAATGCACCAAAAATAATCATGTCTTGGGTGTTGTACATTGAGATAATGTCTGTCTTGGACGGGTCCAAGATTCACTGGTCTCTTGCCGATCCAAGCAAAAAGCTCAGACAAGTTGGGTTTGATCCATCCCGGTAGGCTGATTGGGCTGGACTAACCCAAAGGGGACCACCGAGTACGTTGCCTGCCCAGTCTGATCCGTTAAAAAGTCATCAGACCGGTTCAATAGTTCCAGGTAGACCTAATTCGAGACATTAGCATCTTTGCTCTTGACTGTTGACTGAGACGAAGACTCTGTTTGCTTTGGGAAGACTTCTGGTATTTGTTAATTGTGTACCCATTAGCGTCAGAAACGATCCATGATAAATTGAGGAGTTAGCATCTTTGCTCTTGACTGTTGACTGAGACGAAGACTCTGTTTGCTTTGGGAAGACTTCTGGTATTTGTTAATTGTGTACCCATTAGCGTCAGAAACGATCCATGATAAATTGAGAAGTTCATCAACTGCCGGTACAGGTGGTGCCGGTCAATATTTGATAAACTCCTCTCTGTCCTTCCTTCTCTACAAATTCCCCATCTTTCTCTCTTTCTTTTTCTTAACTCTCTCTATATTTCTTGCTGGGTCGTAAGATATTTTTTTTCTCTGGACTGATCTTTAGCCTTTGATGGTAATCAGTCGCAAAACTTGAATTTGTTTGAAGGGTCTGCTGTTGCCAAATTTGGGTTCCGTTTTCAAGTTTGGCGGAGATAAATATGGCAGTAAGTTATTCTTTTTCCTCCGTTCTTGCTGTTTATAGTTTTGTTTGCGGTTTGTTCTTTTTTTTTTTTTGGTTCTTCCCCTGTTTGCTTACTGAGAAAGCTGTAGGAGAGAAAGAAAGATGAGAATTTTGAATCTTATCTTGTTTTGTGAGTCATGTTGGTTTCTAAAGAGGTCAAAACAAGCTTGGCTAAATCGGTACTTTGAGCTCTTCATGATCTATACAATAAGAATCTAGATTGTGGGATTCTCCATGTTTCTTACATGTGAAAATATGGGTGGTATTTGAAAATGAAAATAACATTTAAATGAGAACAGGAAACTCGACATTAGATGGAAAATAATAATAATAGAGAAAAGTTTTTCATGTTCTTAGATTTTTTTTTTAAAAAAGTTTATATTTATACCACATAACAAATATTACTATACATTTTTTTATGTCAGCATTTATGTATTTAGAAATTAAAAATTAGCAACTGTTCTATGCCTTTGTGTATTCATTGAATTGCTTATTTGTGGATTGAAGACAAAAGCATTTCAAATTTGGAAAGCATCTCTGCAACTTAATCAAATTCCTCCATCTTTAGTGGATACAATTATATATAGAGGATAGGAAAATTGGTACTCTCTCAGTCCTTATTTTCTTGAATGGATCACTTTCCATCCATTCAGTAATATTTTACCAGTGCTAATTGTTCATGCTCCTGATTCTGTCGATCTTCTTTCCTTTCATTAACTAACCTACTTCTGTAACTCAATCATGACAAGTAATTTTTCTGAGACAAGGCAGATGTTGATTTAGTGTTCTTATGACATAATAAAATCAAGTGTCAGAATCTGTTTACTCCATTAACTACTTGCTCAGGAGAGGTTCTTGTTTGAAAACATTTTGAGGAATTATGTATTTGTCAAATATTTTCAGAAAACAAAGAGTAAAGATGTATTGGCACCATTTCCAGAGAATCACTTGACATTATGGTATTGGAGTGTACATACACATTTTTCTTAACCAACTGGTTATATCCTCTGGTTCTGTGATATCTGTGTCTGCCAATTCAATTTAAATATGAAATAATATTTAAATATAACACTCAATAACAAATATAAACTAACATTATAAATATACAACATTAAATATTTATTGATCAAAATTTAATTAATTTGAATATAATTAAAAATTTATCAGTTATATATAGCGGGGCAGATATGGGCCGGGTAAATTATTAAATGTATACTCATCATATACCTATTTTTGGTTTATATTTTTCTACCTATCTCAGCCCATACTTCATTAAGCATGTATCTTAACTTATCTAAAAGATATTAGAATATTTAATGAAGTAATTGTATCCTGTTGCTATTCTCCATCCAATTAAGGGAACATATTCAGATAATAACATGTTGGTGGATCACATATAGTGTTAGCTACCTCAAGTAGTATATTTTGGAGCTAAGCATCATGCTTGCATAGTGAATTTTCATCCTTATCTTGGTTACATCTTTTAACTTGTTCTAACTAAATTTTGAGTATTTTGATTAGGTATTTGTTTCTTGTTTCTATTCCTGCTCATTTTAAGGCCACTGTTAGTGCTTCCATTTTTGCTGCTTTTTTTAAATATGATACGTGAGACGGAGTGGATTGTGTTTATGGCTTAAAGATACTATGTGAATAGACGGCATGTTTTCAAAACATAAACAAGCTCTTCTATTGCCACAGCAACATTCTCATGTAGCAAAATTTGGCAATTGGGAAAGCGAAGACAATGTTCCTTACACAGCCGACTTTGATAGGGTTCGGAAGGGTCGAAGTGGGCAAGAGATGATAAATTCTTATGTACTTTCTGATCATGCTCCTCCAGCTCGATATCATGCTTCTAAAGCCAAACCTAAGGAGGAATCAGTGGGACGAGTGGCAGCTAAACAAATGCAAGAACGCCAAAAGAGCAGGGTAGAG